TCTGACAATGGACTTGTGTATACGATGTATTAAGAACTCTCAAAAGTCAGTAGTTAAGGCTTTCAGCTAACAGAGGCTAAGGTGCAACTTTTTTTTTTTTTTAAGGTGCAACTTTCTTTGGCTATCCCAGATCCAGTTTCATCTGACACCAGCTGTCTCCACAATACTGCACAACTTCGACCTCGAGATCCCATGTGGGATCAAAATCATATACCTGTGAGGCACCAAAGGTGAAGTCGGCACCACATCTACCCTGGGCCCCAAGATCAGCCCCCTTTCAGTCTCCAAAAGAAGCAGGTGATGACATCATCAAGGCACCTGGTGACTAGAAGAGTCTGAGAATTATAGTGAAACTGACTGGTCAGAACAGACATACCCAGATGGAGGTGGTGCCTTCTGTCTCTGCCCTTGATCATCAAAGCCCACAAGGAGCCACCAAGAGACAGAAGAAACAGAAAATGTTAAGTACAATGGAATGTCACTTGACAAGGTTCTCAACATTGCCTGATACATGTGGCACTTTCTGGAATCATTAAAGTGATCCCAGGTACTGCCCCGTCTGCTGACTGTAATGTGCACATCAGCACCCTCATGACAACATAGGGGATACCAACATTGGTGCATGAGAGTGCCCAGCTAGCTAAGAAGCATAAGAAAATAGACAATAAAAAGATGATCTAGGGGCCAGCGAGATGGCTCAGTAGAATAAGTGCTTCCCTGGCAAGTGCAAGGGTCTGAGTCCAATCCCCAGTTCCGCACACACACAAAAAAGTCTTTTGTCCATTGTTTTCATTAGATTGTTTTCTTAACTGTTGACTTTTTTGGAAGGTCATCTTTTTCTTTTTTTGCAGAACTGGGGATTGAACTCAGACCCTTGCACTTGCCAGGGAAGTGCTTATTCTACTGAGCCATTTCCCCGACCCAATTTTTTTTTTTTTTTTTGACAAAAGATTTGAACTGATATTTCACCAAAGATATGCTGACAGAAAATAAATACATTAAATGGATGGTGAACTGCATCAAAGAAAAAGTAATTCTTACCTATTAAAGAAATGAAAATTAAAGCAATACTATACAACACACCTAGGACAAGAATATAATTTAAAGAGATGGACCATAGCAAATGTTGACAAGAATGTGGAAGAACCAAAAGTATCACATCTCACTAGTGGGAATACAAAATGGTACAGTCTCTGTGAGAAACAGTCTGGAAGTTCTTTAAAAGTTAAACATGCACCTGCCACATGATTTAACTATTCATCTCTTGGGTGTTTATCCAGGAGAAAAGAAAGCATGAATCATACAAAACACAAGCAAACATGCACAGCAGCTTTATCTCCTTGCTTATCTATCAGTACTGGGGACTGAACCTAAGGCTTTTACACTGAGCCCTTTTTTAGTGTTTATTTTCAAACACAGTTTTGCTAAGTCATTAAATTGTCCAGATTGGATATGAATTTGTAATCCCTCTGCCTCAGCTCCCAGAGTGCTGGGATTCCAGGTGTGTGCCACCAGGCTCAGCTCCATGGTAGATTTCATGTCCATAAACAGATGAACAAATAAATACATTGTACAACCCCAACACATATTGAGTTCTGGTGTTTTCCTGATTAGCATTATGAAGTGTACACTCTCTTGTGATGAGGGCAATGGCAAAGAGCCATCACTTCCAGTCAGCCTCAGGAGCACCGGAACAAACAACTGAAATTCTACAGGGTAAAAACCATTGCCGGTATGTTTTGGATATAAGAATTCAACAAATTACATGAGTATCAGCACTTACTATAGAATAGGCTCTGTAGTAGGTGACTGTGCCCAGCTGTAGGCTAATGTAAGTGCTGTGACACATTTAAGGTTAGTCTTAGCTATGATGTATATTAAGTATATTAAATGCACATGCAACTTAGCAGTATTTCCAACTTACAACAGGTTTACAGGGTCTAACTCATTACCCACAGAGTAGCAGCATATCCATGCCATAAGCTAAATTTAATAATGAACATGAAACAGGTGTTGATGTACGCAAGATGGATAAATCGCAAAGCAATTCTGTCGAGTGGAAAGATCCAGGTGAAAGGAAGGGCAGGAATCTATCAGGATCTGTGGGGATGGCTCCGGGGTCCATCAGGATCTGTGGGCACGGCCCCAGGGTCTCCCCACAAACACCAAAATCTGCAGACGCTCAAGTCCTTTACTTATGTAACAGGGAGCGGTGTTCACATGTGACAAAAATGTCTTCTCCTAACCTTTAAGTCATCTTTAGATTTATTGTACCTATTGCAATGTAACTGCTGTACAAACAGTAGTTTAGGGAAAGGAAAATAGAGTGTATGTGTTTAGTATATATTTTTGATGCATGGCTGGTTGAAACATGGATATGGAGGGCTGACTGTACATATACATATATGGTAGTGGTTGGAGAGTGTAGAAGCATGGCAAAAATTACCAAATTATATGCCTTAAATGTGTCCCATCTATTTGACCTCAATTACATCTCAATAAACTTAACTTGCAGGATGAAGCTGAGGCAGGAAGGTTAAAAGTTCAAGCTGAGTCTGGACAATGTAAGTGACACAGGAAGACGGTGTGTCAAATTTTAGGAGCTGAGGATGTACCTCAGTGAGAAGGTCCTCAGTACAATCCCCAATACCAACTAACACACAAAAACACCATAGGACTTCTACATGGTAGAAGGAGAAACAGCAAATATATCCAGGCTCTATTAGTTCTATTTTTAGTCTATTTGGTTTGCTATTGTATCTCTATTGCCTAAAATGGTACCTTTTCTAGTAAGGGCTCAACGAATATATTTTTAATGTGTCAGTGAGTGATAAATTCTTTTCTTTTCCAATCAGATTTTTTGGGGTACATTTTAGATATGCATAATGGTCACATTCACCATAGAGAATCTGTACTTATACCTAATGTAACCTGCTCCTTTTTCCATTCCCCTACCCTCTCTTCAACTTTCCCCTCCCCATTTACAAAAGCCTTACTTTCATTTTTTTCTTTTCTCATTTTCTTTCCTTTTCCCTTCTTCTTATTCTTTTTGGTGGAACCGGGGATTGAACTCAGGCCCTTGTGCTTGCCAGGGAAGCACTTATTCTACTGAGCCATCTCCCTGGCCCTCCTTTTCCCTCCTTTCTTTTCTCCCTCCCCCTCACCTCTTCCTCTCCCCATTTGAACATTTTCTTCCTATTTCACACACCTATCATACATTTTGGTCCTTATTTACATTTTCAGTTTCTCACACCAGAGAAATAATGTAGTCGTTACATGTGTGTGATTGATTTCCCTTAAACGTATGGTCTCAGGGTGCCTCCACTTCCCTAGAAATGTCTTGAGCTTATCTTTCTTTATGGCAGAATAGTACTTCATTGTATCATAGTACCCACATCAATCTTCATCCATTCACTAGCTGATGGGCATCTGGGTTGTTTCCAAGGTTTGGCTATTATAAATCTGCTGCTGTAAACATGGGTGTGCATATATCACGGTGGTGTGATGCTTTTAATTTTTCTAGGACAATACCAGGAAGGGGAATAGTACGAAACCTCCTCTAGTTCTAGTTTTCTGAGGACTCTCCATACTAATCTCCACAGTGTCAACACATTTTATAAATGAATAGCTTCCTCTACACTATACACATGTGGGAGAGGGCAGAGGCCAAGGCTAGTTCCAAGTGTTTTCTATACAAAACTGAAGGAATAAATTTGTCTCCAATTCAGAACTTTGTGACTATACTTTTTTATAATAATGTATTCTTCATATATAAAAATGCATGGGTAGTTAACCAATTAATACAGATTATTGCTCTAAAAATAATAAACATTCTTGGCTTCAAAAGGCTGTTTGGCTAGTAGATAAGGTTTTATTTCTGATTGCCAAGAAAAAAATGCATTTCTTTGACATCCTTTCTGAACAATTTGTATCCTCACATTCAATTTCCTTAATGGAACCACTATTAGATTGTGTTCTTTATTATACATTTTCTTAGGATGGACTGCTACATTTAAGCTTCTCTTGAGGTAGACTCTATTCATTTCATTGGTTTATAAAGATTCTGAAACAGAAAACAAAAATAGTATAATGGTCCAAGTTTTGTAATTAAATAGAAAAGAACTACTTTGTTCCATAAAATTTAAAGTGTTTTGATCCTTCACACAAGCATTTCACACTAAGCCAAATTTCTCAGCAATGATGTAGTAGATGTTTGAATTATAAACCCTACTGTCTGCATTCGCAATACACAGCACATTCCTCCTGGAAGCCTGCAAAGGATGTATACTGTAGTAATGCAGAGGCCTGTTCCAAGCTTCCAAGGGTCATATTCTAATCTAACCAATCCCAGAAGTAATGCTAGAGGCCACTATAATAAGAACATAAAGGTTCTAGCTTTGTCTATCTCCAAAAAATCTTTAAAAATATGTTAACATAGTGATTTGATAACATCTCCATTAAATAATAGCTATCCAGAAAGGAGGGACATGCATCTAGTTGGCTAGGGATATTGCTAACTATAATAAAATGCATGTAATAATCACATCCCATTAGGAGTAAGCAAAAATTCTACCTTATGGTAAGGAAATTTTTAAAGCACTATTTTTCTATAATATAATTTTATGAGAAATTAGGAAGATGGGAAAGTGAAGAAGATAATAGAGAGAGGTGAGTAAGTATTCTAATACTATTACGTGCCAAGCACGTTACATGTGTTGTTTCATGTGATGTTTGTAGCACACTTGTGCAAGAATTATAACTGCCCTACTTTACAGTGGAGAGAACTGACTCTCAATCAGGTGAATTAATTCGTCCAAGTTTGCATCCCTCACAGTGGAGCTCACCTGTTATTCAAAAGTCATGGTTCTCTGGTTACTCTACACAAACTGTCACAGAAAGAACAGAAGAAAAGCTTAGGATAAGCTACATTTATTTTTTGCTCACAAAAATGTCACCTACAAACTGCTGTGACTGAGTGGGCCTCTGTGGATTTGACTTACTTCAAGGAAGAATCCCCCACGCCAATGCAGCCTCGCAAGCTGAGCTTCCTTAGGAATCCACCACATCGCTTGGAGATATTTTCCACTACTCGACCCTTGAATGGAGAAAGTTAGAAAAGCATCATTGTTCCATGCTGCCCACCTAGCAGTAGAACAACATGAGATTCCAAAACAACATTTGCTGTACACTTGTGCACTTGCTGTACGTGCCTCCTCTGCTGGCTAAAAACAGAAACCAGACTCATGCAGCAGGTGACAGTGGGGAGAGGAGAGGGGGCTTCCACAGCAGACCATTAGTTATTCTAGGTTCTGCTAAGGCAAGTAACTAGGAGGAAACTGTTTGGATTTATGTCACTTTTAAACATAACCATGTCCTTATTACATAAAACATATACCTTGGTAAAGTATTTGGCCAATATACTGTAATAGTAACTGCATTAAAAAGCAATTCCTCTGCAGTAAATAAACTGGCTAAATGGGTAAGAAAGTTTTACTAACACTGGGGAAACAATAGATTCTAGGATCTCAATGCCCTCAAATCAGCATTTTAAGCAATTGTTCTATGCAACGCTCTTTATTATTCCCACCCTTTCTGATTAGAAATGTATTAACGTGTTCCTACTTGCCCAAACCACCAGAGGACATGCCTGACTGTCCTACCAGTGCCTTTTTATTAATTTTATCAGTAACAAGGCCAGCAAAAATGATTAGATCTACTTATACCACCAGTAATTCCAGCTATCCTGTGAGATACTCATGCATGTACCACCACTGATTGAAATCCCCCAGCACTGAGACTTTGGAATTACAGACCTGCTGTGAATGTGTCAAAGTTGCTTTTATTCATTTGACTACGTTTAAACTCTTAACTTGAAATATTTATATATATTCCAGATAAATACAAGTGGTGATAAAAAATGTTTAATGTTTAAATTTTTTAAACATTCTTTATATTAAAAAATACATTGCCAGGGCCAGTCAAATAGCTCAGCGGATTAAAGTGCCTGCAAACAGGTGCAGGGGCCAGTGAGTTCAATTGAGGCTGGGAGTGGTGGCACGTGCCTATAATCCCAGCTCTTGGGAGGCTGTAAACAGGCAGATCACTATGAGTCCAATCTAGTAGTGAGATCCTGAACACCCTGTAGACCCTCCTCTAAAAATACAAAAAAAAAAAAAAAAGACACAATGCCATTAATTCTTCTCAAAACACTTGCCCAACACATCCACCTATCCCATCATTCTTGTAGCTTTCCTGAAGCAGTTTTGGAAGTCTTCTTACATGAGTGTCTTTATAAGATATGTTAAAAAAATATGAAGACTGCTCCTGCCAAGTGCCACCAATGCAAAGGTGAGCTCATCAAACCATTATGGTGCATCTTCATTTGCCTTCTTCACTGGACTTAACTGACTTCTGGTCCTTCCCAAAGTCAAAATGACCACAAAAGGTAAATGTTTTACATCAATTTAGGATCTCAAGGCAGCCACAGAGCACAACTAAAGATGCAGTAAGTGGTAAGAACAATGGGATAAGTATGTTCAAAGTGAAGGAATGTGAGTTACTGTAAGAAGTCCTTACTTAAACACTTATTTTTTGATCATAACTTGTAGAACAGAATCCTGGAATTAGAAAGGGTTTTAAGGATTCTTTATTTTGCAGGTAATTAAACAAAAGGCCTGAGAAGTTATATAGCTTATGTAGCCCAGTTGAGAGACACATCACATATCCAGCCTCACTCGTGGACCTATACCTAAGGCATTTCCCCATTCTTCATGCTGAATTACAATTCCCAGATCCTTCAGAGCAATAAATATGTGTCAGATCTCCTACAAAAGACTAAGTAAGGTTAAGTGTTAATGATAGAGCTGCAAGACTTTTAAAGTGTTGAGGGTAAAACTCATGAGTGTGAGCAAGGGAGAAGAGCCATCTGTCACTGACGCAGAGCAAAAATAAAAGACAAGGGAAAATTTGGTCTTGATACATAAAAATATCTTCCACATTTTTTTCTCTTCTGTTCCACCAGAATACTAATATGTTGGGCATGGTGGGTCACCCCTGTAATCCCAGCACTAACAAGGCTGAGACAAGAGGATTGCTGGGAGTTCAGGCCAGCCTGAACTACAAAGTGAGATCCTGTCTCAAAGAAAAAACAAACAAATAAAACCCTTTAATGTTAAATCCATAGGTTGGGCATAGTTGCACATGACTATAATTCCAGCACTCAGGACACTGAGGCAGGAGGATCACTATGAGTTCTGGGCCAGCCTGACCTACACAGTGAATTGAAAGCCAGCTGGAACTACATAGTGAGACCCTGTCTCATTAAAAAGAAAACAAATCTATGTGCTCACTTTGGTAGCACATACACTAAAAAAGAAAAAACAGACATCTAAAATGTAGTTAAAAACAGCAGGATAGAAACAACAGTTGCTTATCTTTCTGAAAAGCCCTCTAAGCAAAATTAACTAACTTACCTCGACATCTGTTTGAAAGTTAAAAAGATCTATTCTTTGCCAGTTGCTTCCATCTAGGGCTAAGATGTTCCAGGCCTGGGTGGTAGGAGAAAAGAGAAAAAGGGGCGGAGGTGAAAGAGGTACCTTAACTTAATTATTAAAAAGTCTATTTGCAACCTTTGTATTTGGAAACTTTTATTCTTGATATATATTGTTAACAATCAATTACAGAATTATAATGTTATATTAAATGCAAAAGATACTGAGTTTAATTTTAACACTTAATTTGAACTCAAGGTATCCTTATTCCTATAAAACTTGGTACTCATTAAAAATCTAAACAATACACTACCTTGGAAATCTGTGCACATCTGCACAAAGTTACTATATCCAAGAAGGAAAATATTCTAGAAAGAAAGGGAAAAAACACACACAAAAAGATGTTAACATTGTAGAATAAAATGTTACAACTTGAAAGTCTGAAGTGTCATCTGGTTATATAACTAGCAAACATATAAGTACACATCACTACTATGAAATAGTCAATGTTTGTGCATTCAGAACCTGCTTGACACACCATACAAATTCTGGGAAAACAGAACTCATTAATTTTTTATTTCCTTGGTTTGAAGAAATGAAGGTGGGAGAGTGATCCTAAGCAGTTCTGCGTGAAGACCAACTCTGATCCACCAAGCCTGGCAATAATGAGAGACTTCTAATTCTAACCTTCCTAATGTATGCCAACAAACCTCTCTTTTGGACATACACAATAAGCTTAGATGTTTGAGCCTCAATTAACATGGCCAAAAAAGCTGATTGACAGAACCCACTTGGTTGGATGTATTTGTACCCCTGGCAGAAGGACGGCTTCATTAGCTGGCCGAGTCTGTAAATAACCACTTATTTCCCCAGCAAAAGCCAAGAAGCCACAGAATATGAGAAAGTTGGGAAAGAAATGAGAAGCAAACAAAAACCTGGTAGACAACAGTAACACCTCTTAGAGAAAACAACAGCTGCCAGCCCAGCAGGGATCAAAGGGAAGGCCCAGCATTCTGACAGAGGAAAAGAGCCACCGAGCACACTCTGAACAGTGGTCTGTCTGCCTCAGTGCTAGGGAATGATAGCTGAAAACCAAAAGCAGCTTTTCTAGAGGAAATGTGCCTTTTCATTAGCACCTGCATCCTAGAACACATCTACAGTCTCCAGTCTCATGGTATTACAAGACTCTGATCCAGTTCCAGCGTTCTGTTATCCATTCCTGAGACATGGATGTTTAACTTCCTTACCCTGATCACTACCTCAGGGATTTCTGAGGAACTTCAGAGTGGCTTCTTGCCAGCTTACCCTTTTTCTCCTATACACAAAGACCGGACTCTTTTATTACCTTCTAGGACTGCCAGAATCAAGACACACAGTTGTTCCTGACCTCTACTCCATCTCCTTCGCCAGAAAAGCTGCTTTTGGTTTTATCTTTATTAAGATATAACTAAACTTCAGAAAATTTGGAAGAAATTGAGATTTTTATAATGTTAAGTCTTTGAATTCAAAAATATAGTATGTGCTAACTTGGAGAAAATCCTGACTCTTCAATCACTGATATTTATTTTATGACATATTTACCACATGTTTTCTTGCCTGTCAATTAATTTTTTTGGGGGGGGAACCAGGGATTGAACTCAGGCCCTTGTGCTTGCCAGGCAAGCACTTATTCTACTGAGTTATCTCCCCAGCCCAATTAATTACTTTTTAATCATCTTGTAATATATCTCAGTTTTGCACACGCACTTAAAAAATTTTTTTTACACATGCATTTTTAAAAATTTGGTGGTACAGGGGATTCACAATAAGCTATGCTCCCAATCTTTTCTCATTTTTTGTTTTGAGAAAAGTTTTTGCTAAGTCACTAAATTGCCCAGATTGGACTCAAATTTGAGATCTTCCTTCCTCAACCAGAGTTTTGGGATAGCAGGCATATACATTTTGCCTACCTATATGCATGATTTTAACATCTCTTTAACATTTATTTTGTCTTTCAAATTTTTCTTTGGTAGGGGGAGGGTTAAAAAAAATAAATTTTTTCTTTAAAATAAGAACACGGAGTACAGTTACCATATATATACCCCCCCATTTCCTTTATTAAGTTATGTTCCTGTGGTACATTTGTTAGAAAACTTAAGCTTACAGTTTACATCAAAATTCAGTTTCTATCAAGTTAGTTTTATGAGTTTTGCCAAATACATGATGCCAAGTATACGTCACTCTACATAGTTCAGTGCCATAAAAATCATTTATAATAGTGCCATAAAAATTGCCTGTGCTTCTCCTACTCATCCTTTCCTTTCTCCTAATGAACCCCTGAACTATCTTTTTTGTTTTTAGTTTTTAATGAACTTGGGAACAAAAAAGCACCATTTGAAAATTTAAACATCCCAGCTCATAAAGATGTTTGCATATCTAAGTGATTAACATATCTAAGCAATATATATGCTCAGTTGTAACTAAGTTTGTGACAAATATGCTCTTTTTTTATACCAAGAACATTATAGAGTTAATGCAGAGTCCTAAGGGTAATCTAATCGTCACCAAATTTAAGAATTCTTTAGATACTTGCTATTTCTAGCACAGGCAAGTAGG